CGATGTCGGCCGCGTCGCAGATGGACATCTGCCGCCGATTTTCTATAACGACAAGAGCACGGCACCAATGTAATACATGTTGTTCGCAATCAGGGGCGCTTCCTCTGGCAACGGTAAAAGTTGTATGTCTCACATAAATTTGATGGAAGGCATGCTGCATGATCCTGGCCGAAAAGTCGGACTGCAAGCCTCCTCGTGGCGGCCAGGGGTAACTTGATGCTGGCAGTATCTCTCGACGGCCGTCTTTCCCCAGAGGGGGCGGAGGGCATCAAGGCCAAGGAGGTAGAGGGGGCCTCCAGCAGACGCAAGTGTGCCGTGACGGCGGTCCGTGGCAGCCGACTCAGGGAGTGTATGCCTAGTGCCCTGACTTTACAGTTCTTGCCGCATCGGGGGGTGCGGTCACGACTCCTACTGGGAAGACTGTCATTTGGGTGCAACCTGATCGACACACCTCGCGGACTTGAGTTCCGCGAGCAAGGAAAGGCTTGTGAGGGGTGGCTGGCCTCCCTGGCAGTGCTCCCGAGTACTGCCACGCACAAAATCGCCCTGCGGCGGATGGCTAAGCCAGCCGCCAGGAGTGGTCATTTTGACCTTTGCAGCTCTTGTTCCGCATGCTGCATGATGTATTTACTGTAGCGCAGCCCTATCCGCCAATTATCTCTTGCATGCGCGCTTGGCTGCCGTAGTGTGGCACGTCCTCTGGCTCTGCTTGTGGAGCGAAGGGCTTCCGTGGGTCCTCGACCGGACTTGACCTTACTTGAGTTGGGTGTACTGGTAAGTGCACAGTGAGAGGTTGGGTAGTTCCGTTGGGTTGACCAATCTAGGCCCCCGACGTCATTCTGGTTTTGGTGATGAGGTCAATCCGTGGACCCGGGAACTTTCGACCCCTCAGGCCCACAAGGGCCAGCTTCTTATCTCGCGTGTTTTCTGACGGCCCTGGGGGCCGTAACAGGCCCCATAAGGTCTAACGTGAGGGATGATGCTTTGGACACGAGTTCACCTTCGGAAGGGGTGGACCCCCGGGGGGGGCCAAGCGGTGGCCGCCAGGGAACGGGAGGGTCCAGGATGCAGCAGCGCGTCGTAAGGCTGTGTTGCAGCACGAGCATGGGGCACCAACAGTGCCCACCTGGCTGTTCGCTCCTCGCTCGTCTCTCCCTCTTCGCTCGTTCCCCCCTATCCTCGTCCCTCTTCTTCCCTCCAGCCTCTTCCCGCAAGAGTCGAGGCGGTTGCTGCCAGTCGTCCAGCCTCTGAGCGCAGACCCCGGACCCCTGGTCGACTGCGCCTCGAGAGGCTGGCTCACGGGAGGCAGGCCCGCCCCATCCGGCCGCGCTCCCCCGCCAGCACGGGCAGCACCGCTTCCCCAGACGCGGCCCTCCCCGAGGACCACCGCGCAGCGGCCCCCAGGGAGGCGAGCCCGTCTTCTCCCGCCCCGCCCCGGACGCTCCCCGCCCGTCCTCCCCGTGGGCTGGCGAAGCGGCCGCCCCAGGCCCCGGCGGCCTCGCCCCGGTGGCGCGCTGCTCCCGAGCACGCCGCGCGGGCCCCCTTCCATGGGGCGCCTGGCCCGGTCTGTGTACGGCCTCGTCGCGAGGGTGTCGGGAGCGGCCAAGAGGGGGGTGATGACCAGGGGGGGGTGGATATCATGGCGGGGACCATGATATTTCCCCAGATTTCATGGCGCCTCCTCCTATTTCATGACGTCCCAGGCCCCCCCCCGCGGGCCGGCGCACGTGCCGCCGGTCATGCTTTGCACCCCCCCTCTTGGACCTCCCCCCCTCTTGGCCGCTCCCGAGGGTGCTGCGGCCGAGGCACGGCCCAGGCACCGCCAGCGCCCCGCACAGGTCGACGGGAGCTCAACCGCAGTGCGCGACCTGCGCTGTCCTCGGCCTCGCCCCCGGTGCCGCCGGGCCTGCCGCCGCGCGGCGGCCCCGGCCTCGCCTTCGCCGGCGCCGGACCGGCCGCGGCAGCGCGCCCTCGTGCCCCTCGGGGGGCTCCGTTGCCGTGCGCGCGTGCCCGCGGAGGGGGCCCCTCGGCTGGACTCTCGGTGTCGAGGTCCTGGTGCCATGTTTTGGCCCTCGAGGGAGCCCCCCGGGGCTGAGCTCCCCCCCCGCTCCCAGACCTCCACGGCGCGCCGAGGCAGCACGGCGGGCTGCTTTTTTCGGGCCTCCAGGGGCCCTGGCTGGGCCTCGGGGGCGCCGCACGAGGGCTTCGGGGCGAGGAACCAGTCCTGGGGGATGGGCCCTCGGCGCCCCCTGCTCGAATCCTCACCGCCCGCTGGCGTCGTCGTCCTCGGTGCCCTCGGCGCCCAAGCTCCGTGCGGATGCTGCTCGGAGGTGACGTGCCGACGCGGGCGGGGCGCACGCTTCGCCCGCCGAAGCGCAACTACGACAGCGGCAGCGGCAGCGGGGCCACCAGAGAGCGCGGGCGAAACGCCGGCCTCGCCCGAGCACCTCGTCCTCCTCCCCTCCTCCTCCTTCTCCTCCTCCTCCTCCTCGTCCTCCTTCTCGTTCTCCTCGTCATCCTCGTCCTCCTCCTCGCCCTCATCCTCCTCATCCTTCTCCTCCTCCTCCTCCTCCTCCTCCTCCTCCTCCTCGAGCACCGCGCAGCTTGCAGGGGAGAGCGGCGGTGCTCTGCCAGCGCTGCGCGTGCCTCGCCTTCGTCGTGCGCTGCCACCTGCCGTGGCGCGGCGCGCCCCACTGCCGGCGGCGGGTCGGCCGCGAGGGCGCCGCCGCGTGCGCCGCCACAGAGCCTGCCGTCGCAGTGGCGCGGGGATCGCCGAGGCCGACCGGCAGATCTGCCCGGTCCGCCCCAGCTCGTGAGGCCGTGGGCCGCCGACGTGCCGGAGGTCGGCGCCTTCTCCTCCTCCTCTTCCTCCTCCTCCTCCTCCCTTTCCTCCTCCTCCTCCTCCTCTTCCCCTTCCTCTTCCTCTTCCTCTTCCTCTTCCTCTTCGTCCTCCTCCTCCTCCTCCTCCGCCTCCTCCTCGTCCTGCTCCTCCTTCTCGTCCTTGCTCCTCTTCCTCCCCATCCTGCTCTTTTGTTCGGATGCAACTCCTGGGAGGGCAAATTCTGACGTTACCCTGGTCCGAAATCCGGATTCATCCGGCTCATTCCCGCTTGTTCCCGCTTAGTCCCGCTTCATCCCGCTTAATTCCGCTTAATCCGGCTCAATCCCGCTTCATCCGCAGCCCAATCCGGCGTAGTAGCACCCTATGGGGCTTTATCTTCCTTAATCCTTCCGACGAAGGCCTCCTAGTAGTTGCCTCCTAATCTTGAAGATCGCTCTCGGCTCTCGGTGCAGCCCGCGGCACCAGCCGGCACCAGGGGCACGTTCCCCTGGGCGTATACAGCTTCGTGGCAGAGCCACATCGTCGTGCGAGGAGAAGCGGTCAGAGCTCACAGCCACGCCTGAGCGACGCAGCAAAACGGGCGCGGACATTCGCGCGTAAGCTCGGAGACCTAGATGTCGACACCAACACCACTATCGGCGGTGTGCCTCCACCGAGGGAAGATGACCGCGATCTCAGTGAACGTGTCAATATTCGGGCTTCCTAGGTGGCCGAAACATTACCACCAACGCCAGAATCTAGGGTCATCTTTCCCCAGTGGAGGCAACCCCCTGTGTTGGTGTTGGTGCCCATTTCCAGGCCTCCAACAAGCTGCCTGCGTAAGATGGCGCCTACTCGCCCTGGCCTTCAGTGTGGTGTGCCGCGCCTGCGGCCCGCGTACTCCGCGGCGTAAGGTTGTGTTGCAGTCGTGCGGACGACCCTCTGTTGTTCGTCGCTCGTCTGTGCGCGTGAGGCTCCTGGGGTCCGAGATTGGTACAGTGCCGTTTTTAATACATGCTCCCCGTGCGGATCATGTATAAAAAATACAGGGATTTAGCATTGACAACAACGATGAGTTCATGCATACATTTATTCATACTTTTAGTCATGTATTAAAAATCCAATATCTTTGAAATCCCATGTATTAAAAACTGCCCTGTAGATAAAGCCAGTCGTGCTTTTTCACGACGCGCGTGTCTCCAGGTCCAGCAGGCGGCAGGCACGGAGGCCAACGCCTTCCCTGCTGTCCCCTGCCAGGACTCCTCTTTGGGGCCTCAGGCACCCCAGGAGCCTTTCAAGAACCCCTGGCTCTTCAGAGCCCTTGTGAGGAGCGCGCCCCCTGAAAGCTTCTTCCCCCCCTTCCCCTCCCCCTTCCCCTGCCCCTTCCCCTCCTCCTTCCCGTCCCCCTTCCCCTTCTACTTCTCCTCCCTCCTCCCGCCCTCCCTCCTTGCTTTCTCTGGAACCGTTCGAAAACACTAGGTAACCTATGTGGGCCGGAGAGAACTCTCGGAATATCTCGAAGCCAGCCGAAATCCCCCACCGACGCGGGAATCTCAGAACGCCTCTTTCCTCCCCCCTTCTCCTCCTCCTCCTCCTCCTCCTCCTCCTCCTCCTCCTCCTATTTCTCCTCCCTCCTCCCTCCCCCTCCTCCCTCCTCCCTCCTCCTCCTCCTCCTCCTCCTCCTCCTCCTCCTCCTCCTCCTCCTCCTCCTCCTCCTCCTCCTCCTCCTCCTCCTCTTCATCCTCCGTAGCTGCGTTGGTTAAAGCCGTCGGCTGAAGCCACGTGGCCCAAGCCATTTTTGGCCCAGGCGGTCGCACGGCCGTCGCCCTGCCGTCCCCGCCGCGGCGCGGCCTCGGACGGCCCGCGACGGGCCCGCGACGTCGCCTCCGTCGTGAAGGCGGCGGTGTGCGGGGCCGTCGCCGCGAGCGCCCCGCGGCGCACGGTGGCTGCCGTGGCCCGCTCGGCCCCGTCGGCTGAGCTTCACGCAGCGGGCCGCGGGGCCGCGGCGTCCGTGGCAGTTGGCGGCGTCGCTGCCGCGGCGCACGGTTCATCTATTCGTCTTCCTCGGGCGGCCTCGGCTGCCCAGGCGGCGCGCCGCCGCACCAGCGCTGCGTGCGGAGAAGCGCGACGCGGTGCCGTTGCGCCTGCCGCTGCTGGGGGTGGTGCGCCCGTTGTCGAGGGTGCACTGACGCAGCTGGACGCGGCTGCTTCTTGCACGAGACCTGGCCTCGTGTTGGTCGCGATCGATGCCACGGCCGTCTCGGACATCGACGACGAGTGGGCTGACGAGGGGACGGTGGCGCCGCGTACGCGGCGCCTGCGGAGGCGCCAGCCTGCTGCGGATGCGGCCCCGCGGGTGAGTCCTCGTGCGAGCGCCGCGTCGGTGTGCTCGCGGAGCGCTTCGGGCTTGTGCGGAGCCTCGTCGACGCCCTGCTACACGACGACGAGCTGCGCCGCATGGAAGCGGTCGCCCTCGGCGCCCCCTTGCACTGCGGCCCCTCCCTGCACATGGCGTTGCTCGTCGGCGTGTTCAAGTCCGACAGCACGGCCGGGGACCTGGCACCTCAGGTGGTGGCCAGGTCCCTGCGGTCACGGTCGCTCGCCGGCCACGTGGTCGGAGGGCTGCGACACCGCGCCGCCCTCCACGGCTCGCTCCTCCTCCTCCTCCTCCTCCTCCTCCTCTCCTCCTCCTCCTCCTCCTCCTCCTCCTCCTCCTCCTCCTCCTCCTCCTCCTCACCCCTCCTCCTCCTCCTCCTCCTTTCCTCCTCCTCCTCCTCCTCCTCTTCCTCCCCTCCTCCCTCTTTCTCCTCCCCTTTCTCCCCCCCTCCTCCGCCTACTCCCTCCTCCCTCACCCTCCTCCTCCTCCTCCTCCTCCTCCTCGTCGTCCTCCTCCTCCCCTCCTCCCCTCTTCCTCCTCCTCGTACTCCTCCTCCGCCTCCTCGTCCTCTTCCTCCGCCTCCTCCCTCCTCCTCCCCCCCCTCCCTGGGGGCGCCCGTCGCCGCGAGGCCTGCCAGAGCAGCCTCCAGGGCGAGCTGGCAGCGGTCCAGAAGCGCATCGCAGCGGAGCTCCGGTCGCCGCCGCCCCGGGCGGCAGGTGGCGGGCGGGGAGTTGCGTCCTCCTCTCAGAGGAGGAGGAAGTACGGATAGCGCTACCCTGCTCACTGCGCAGTGCCCTGGAAAAGGAGTCCTATTCCTCGCCTCTGCCTGCGGATCCCGTATGGGAGCGGCCCCTCGGCCGTCTCCCTATACACACAATACCCCCCCCCTTTGTCCCATTTTCCCGGAGCAGGATCTGTTGCGTACGCAGGCGTTGTGGTGCACTCAAGCATCAGTGCGCGCAGGCCGTGCGGTGCGCGCGGGCGTCGTGATGTGCCCAGGCATTATGGTGTAGACAGGCTCTGTGGTGTACACAACTGTGCTGCAACAGCAGTTATGGTTCACGCAGGCATTCTAGGCATGGTGGTGTGCAGGCGCACTGGTGCGCGGGCCATTGCGGTGTACCACACCTTGTGGTGTACACAGGCGCTGCGGTGTGCGCATCCTTTTGTTGTACACGCAGTCGCTACGTGGCCATGGTATGCATCGGCGCTGTGGGCCCACATGATGGGACCAACCAACGTACGTACTGGATTCCATACGTACGGATACCCATATGACTTTCCCGACCTCGGTCCCTCCGGGGCCTTGTAAGTGTACTCACTTTTGTCGTATACGCAAGCGTTTTGGTGCACCATAGCTATGGTCCGCATGTGTGGCGCTGAAGCAGCAACGGTCGTGCACATAAGCGTCGCATTGTACACAGGCACGTGTGTACACATGCGCTGTTGTACACACGGCTGCTATAGTGTACGCGGGCGTTGTGGTGTACGCAAGCACTGTTGTGCAGAGCGCTGCGGTGTGCCCAGGCAGATGTGGTGTGCAAAGGTGTCGTGGTGTACACTAGACAGGCACTGTGGTGTACACAAACATGGTCGGGCCAGAACGGGGGGACCGAACCCCTGGTCAGAAAATCAGTCATCACAACTAAGTGACATATCGAATTCGATACGTTCGGGCCCCCTTCGGATTTTCCATATTTGGGTCCCATCGGGACTTCGGAGGTGCACAGAAACGCTGTGGCGCAAATAGTCGCCATACACTGTGCTGCATGCGGCTCGTAAAGTGTGCACAAGCATCGGCGTGTACACGGGTGCTGTGGTGCACGCAACTGCTGTTGTGTACACGGGCTTTTGTGGTGTACGCAGGCATTGATGTGTACACGCGGGGTACACGACCAGCTGTGATGTACAAAGGCGTCGTGGTGTGGTGTACACTAGACAGGCACCTTGGGGTACACAGACATGGTGGTCGGCCCCAAGAGGGTCAGAACAAATCAATCATCACATATAACTTACATACTGAATATGATACGTTCGGGCCCCCAGCGATTTTCCAGATTTGGGTCCCGTCGGGACCTTGGAGGTGCGCTGTGGCGCAAATGTTCGCCATGTGTTGTGCTGCACTCGGCTCCTGTGGTGTGCACAAGCATCGGGGTGTACACTGGCGCTGTGGTGCAAGCAGAAGGTGCGGCTGCAGCGGTCGCCCGTGATGTACCAGAGCGCCGTGGCGCACGCATTCTTCAAAGTGTTCGCAGGTTCCGCGGCTACTCTCAGCAATCCCATCCCGCGTTTCCGAATCCTAGCTGTCTGAACATATCCTCAGGCATTCTCAGATTGCGCCCGCATCGTCGCAGCACCAATAGCAGCATCGTCGCAGTATCATTAGCGTCGGTAGGGGCCGCAGCACCAGTGCGCGAGGGCAAATGCAGTACTGCCCACAGCGCGAAGGATAGGTTATCGGCCGGACCCTCCCCCCCAAGAATAACCTGAGTTATCGCCGATCCAAAACAAACACTCTCTTGGGGCGCGCTTCAGTGGCCATATGGGGCCCTGGAGGCATTGTTATTGGGCCTGAAGAGGCGCTGCTTGGGCCCGGGAGGCGATATAGAGGCCTGGGGGCGTATTGCATGCGTCCAGGGAGATGTTATATATGGGCCTGGGGGGTGTTGATCTTTCTTGTGTGCAGGCTTCTCTCGCCTCTGGCGCCGCGGGGGACGCGAGCGAGGGCGCCGTGGCCTGCGTCGACCGGCGGCCCCTCCTCCTCCTCCTCCTCCTCCTCCTCCTCCTCCTCCTCCTCCTCCTCCTCCTCCTCCTCCTCCCCCTCCCCCTCCTCCTCCTCCTGCCCTCTTCCCCTCTTCCTCCTCCGCCTCCTCCTCTTCCTCCTCCTCCTCCTCCTCCCTCCTCCTCTCCTCCTCCTCCTCCTCCTCTTTCTCCCCCCCTCTCTCTTCCTCCTTTTCCTCTTCCCCTCCATCTCCTCCCAATCCTTCTTCCTTCCGACCCCCCTCTCTCCTCCTCCTCCTCCTCCTCCTCCTCCTCCTCCTCCTCCTCCTCCTCCTCCTCCTCCTTCTCCCTCTTCGTCTCCTACTCCTCCTCCCTTTCCCCCTTCCCCCCTCCTCCTTCAGGAGGGGAAGAAACACACAGACACAATTGATCGTCGACTCCCAGGAAAATATGGGAACATATGGGAAGTGGTGGGGAAGACAAAAACTTAGAACATATAGGAAAATATGGGGAATTCTTTCGTTTGTGTGTATTTATTTGTGTGTCCCAGGGCCCCTTCACTCCTGTCCCTCGTGCCCGTCCCGCACATGCCGGGCACACGTCGGCGCAGTGTCTGCGCGGCTCCAGGCTGAGGCGGAGAGGCGGCAGGCCCAGTGGGAGGAGCGCACGTGGCTCAGGAGGAGACGCAAGGGGGGAGGTCTGGAGGGTTTCTCCGAAGGGCTTAGGCGACCCCTCCTCCCCCTCCTCCTCCTCACCCTCCTCCTCCTCCTCCTCCTCCTCCTCTTCCTCCTCCTCCTCCTCCTCCTCCTCCTCCTCCTCCTCCTCCCTCCTCCTCCTCCTCCTCCCTCCTACTCCTTCCTCCTCCTCCTCCTCCTCCTCCTCCTCCTCGGGTCGCCTACGGCCCCGGGCGAAACCGTGGGGGGAGGACACTGCGGCCCGATCCCTGCCGAGGATTCCGCCTCTCGAGCGGCTCCCAGCTCCGCGAACATGGGGAGTGGAGGAGAGGGGGGGGAGGATGAGGAGGAGAGGGGTGGGGAGGGGGAGGGACGAGGTGGAGGCATTCGTGGGAGAGGGAGGGAATGAGGGAAGGAGAGAGGGACAGAGAAAGGAGGGGGAAAAGGTGGAGGAGGAGGGCGACGAGGACGAGGGGGAGCAGGAGGGGGAAGAGGAAGATGAAGAGGAGGAGGGGGAGGGGGAGGAGGAAGAGATGGAGGAAATGGAGGAGTCCGTGGCATTTGCGGGCATGTGCGAGGGCGCGGTGGTGTCCGCGCTTACTTGCGCAGGGGTGCGCAGTCGGGTGTGAATTTTACCGTTGGCATGTGGAGAAGTGTGCGGCAAGAAACAGCATGCACAGTAGAGGTGATCACCTTGTAAATGAGCATAATGAAATTGCTCTGTGTAAGTTTGAAGACCTGGGAGTTGACAACTCCACTGCTCGCGCAGGCATCCCACCCTCTCACCCGCAGCTTTGTTTGCAGAACTCATGTAGCGGCGAGTGTGATGACTGCTTGGCCATGGCTGGCGCATCTCCGCGCCTGCGCTGGCGCGCGCAAGCTCGCGCGCAGAACGGCCAGCTGGTTTGGCACAGCCGATGCGACCGCGATGGCGCTTGCCCACGGCCGCGCCCAAACGCGTGTGAGAGGCCGCGCTGGCGCGCAGGCGCTTCAGTGCGGGTCGGTGACTGGGGCTGACAACAGTGGCAACTAAGATGCTAGTAACGATTGTGTTGACGATGATGACAGTGACGACGGCGACGCCCACGGGTCCCATCTCACCTTCTTTTCACGGCGCCCGCTTCTCGATGCCCTTGCGGGCCACTCTGCTTTCCCATAATCTGGTGCTAAGTTGTTCCGCCCACGTAGGTTTTCGTTCGTACAGACACTGCAGCCTTTTAGGTCACATCCAGGGGAACGCACCACACAACAAACTTCAAACAAGACGATGGCGACGGCGACGCCATTGGTGGCGCCGATGGTGGTGACGCCGAAGACGATTAGCATGCCCATGTGTCGGTGACGAGGTTTTGAGAGATTTCGACATGCGCGCGCGGCCGACTCGCGCGAGTGGCCCGCATGTTGATATTCGAGAGGGATCGTGCCTTCCCAGCAAGCGCGCACATGCGTTCGACTGATTTTGACGTGCGCGCGCGACATGTCCGCGTGGTCTCATTTGGAGGAAAGGTTGAAACACCAGAGTTCGCAATTCAGAAGAAAACAGGGTTGATCAACCATTTGTGTGTCATAAGTGTTTGGGAGCCTCGGTTTTGAGATCCCTAAGGTGGGGCATCATCACTTGTAAGTTGTAGTATGCCACGGGGAGGGGATTAGGCAGTAAAGTTTGTTTTCCTCTTACTTTGGATGGTGACAGACGGGGTCTGCAACAGGGGGTCTGCAATGGGGGCTGACGTGCCCATGTATGCTCAATGTATCGTTCATGTTTACGATCGGGTATGGTTAACATCCAATGTTGGCGGTCATGGAGGACCAGTCGTTCGTGCCCGCGCGTTGCCCGCGCGGGCAAACGCGCCGTCCATCCATTATCGTTCATGCGTGCGGGCGTTCTGGCAATTCGCGCGTGGGGCGGCGAAGTGGAGTGCCAGTGTGTCTTGATTGTGCGATTGATGATCGCGTATGTTCCCAAGCGATGATGTGTCGATTTCTAAACCAGGTTTGGAACGGGTCCCGCGGTTTTCCGAAAACGTGAATTCAATTTATCCTTTTTTGCCCAGAGTGTGAGTAACATGTCCCTTTTTCTCTAACTATGAATTCACATTTTGGCTCCTTTCATAACGATTTCTATATTAGATTCCAAACTGCCAGTTCATATTTATTTTTCCTCCTCCAAAATGTGAATTCACATTCTCCTTGTTTCCCAAACTGTGAATTCACATTTTGCTTCCCTTCACAATGGGAGCTCACATGTTGCCCTGGCCCTCAAGGTCCCCAGAACTGCGGCGCAGTGGTCCGCATGTC